CTTCCTTCCAAGGAGTGGCTGGTGGGTTTGAACCACCAGCCTTCTGGTTAGCAGTCAAGTGCCTTAGGCACTACACTACCTCCCATATTTTAGCATGCATCAGAATCAGAATCACCTTGCATTCTTGTTAAAGCATAGGCCCCCAGGGTCCTACATTGGCTACCCTTTCTCAGTATGTCTGGGTGGAGATGAATATGCATTTCTAACAAGCTCTTAGGCTATGCAGCTACTGCTGCTTTCAGGACCCATTCTGAGAAGTATTGGCTTAAGGCAGAAAGATCTTTCTGTGCTTGGTTCTCTTGAACACAATATTCTCTTTTATAGCTTTGTATTCAAACACTATCCTTAGTCAATTTTCAGTTAGTTTTTTATTGTTTCAAGAGGAGAATCACTAAGTATTTCTCTTATTACAAAAAGAGGAAAGACAAAGGTAACAAAGTGAACCTCCACACAAAACATCCTTTAGTCCCCAAATCATTCAAAATTTTAGAAATATATTGTAAAATAGGGAGCTCTGGTAGCATAGTGGCTAAGACACTTGCCTGCTAACCAGACGGCTGGCGGTTCAAACCCACCAACCACTCCTTGGAAGGAAGGTTGGGCAATCCTACTTCCGTAGTGATACTGCCTCGGAAACTCAAGGAGGGGTCGCTATGAGTCGGGTTTGACTTGATGGCATTTGACTTGATAACAACATAACAACAACATTGTAAAATATAACAAAAAAAAAAAAAAACACTTTAAATCAAAGATGGCATTCCAGAAAAACCAAACCAAACTCACTGCCATCAAGTCAATTCCAACTCATAGCAACCCCCTTTTGGTTTCTGAGGTGGTAAATTTTTATGGAAGTAGATAGCCCCATCTTCCTTCAGCAGAGTGGCTGATGGATTTGAACCACCAAACTTCTGGTTAGCAGTCAAATGCCTTAGGCACCACACCACCAGAACTTCTTTAGAATTGAAGTAAGTGACTCCATTTTGTAACTCTATTTTTGTAATGTCCAGCTATGGCTGGCAATATCTTGCTAAAACTCATTTTTATGTAGCTGAAGTAACCATTTCATCCTGCCCCCACTCCCATTGAGTTAGGGAGTGCTCCTATTGTCTTTTTCTTCTCTCCCCTCCTAGGCACATAAAGCAGCTAAATCACCCTTCAATGGACGCCTGTGCTAGAGCACATGTACTCTGGGGTGACCTGTGCTAGAGCATGTACTCTAAGGTGGTTATCCAAACTAACTCCCCTCATCCCTTGATGAATGCCTGTGCTAAAGCACGTACACTAAGTCCTTGAAACTGCTGCTTCTGCTTCTGTATTATCGCTTGCTTGCCTGCTTTATAAAGCCTACTTAAAATCGGCCCGTTACTGCAGCATAGGCACGCGCTTCAGCTCCCTACAGTTGGCGAGCCTAAATAAATCTCTTTTACCCAAAAGTGGACATTATAGTGGCTATTATTTTAAATTGAACACATAACAGGATGTCATTCCAAAAAAACCAAACCAAACTCACTGCCATTGAGTCAGTTCCAACTAATAGCGACCCCTCTTTGGTTTTCCGAGGCAGAATCTCTATGGAAGTAGATTATCATTAGGAGTCAATAAATTATGAGATAGAAGAGAATTGAAACCAAATGGATTCTATAGAACAGAGAAATGAACAGAGAAGAGCGCATCCTACAATGCATGTGGAATAAATCTTATACTTCAAGGTCAACATTATCAAATTTAAAGAGCAGGAGAGGATCAAACTCTCTTCATGGTATTTGATTTTAAAATAATGGTGGTTGTCCTCAAAATAGAGCAAGAAAACAATTCCCCCAAAAACCTATATTTTCCTGGGAACATAATGGTTTGCTTCTGAGAGTCTGAGAAATATAAGCTTGTAGCTTAACACCTAATCAACAACAGACACTGAGGAGAGAAAAAGCCATCCCTAGAACTGAAATCTGATTAGAGTATATCACTTCTCACAAAAATCA